GAATTGCTCGAGGCTATATCTCGGAAACCGTTGTTCGAAGAAAAAAATCCTTGCCACAGCTGGCTTCCCCGCCCATCACAACCCATTAGACCAATTTTAAGCAAAAAATAAAATATGAGGGTGCAGGGCACTTGTCGATTTGTCGTGGAACGCCCCCACTGATGTAGTCGTCATAGGGCGACAGGGGCCTGAACTTATATGAAAATGCGATTGGCATTGTGGCCATATACCTTGTGACCAGACAGTGTGCATGAATCCGAGTGATGGATCAATGATCTCAGTGGATCTCGAAGCAAAGTACAGGTTGGGATCTACCTGGGATCCCACCGGATCCGGCGTGGAAAATATATCTTGGATCTATGATCTCATATGATCTAACGATAAATTAACCCTCGCCCATGTAGGGGGGGGTTGGTGCAACCCCCCCTGAGGTTTTTCGGAAATAGTGCAAAAACGGCGGCGCGCAGCGCCGCCAAATTTTGGGTACCTTATGGGGCAAACCTTGCGCATCTTTTGGTAAAAAAAATTCGACCGGGTCATGTCAGGTCACGGAGTTATGACGTCACAAAGGGAACAGCCTCCGGCCGGATTTTCACAAACTGAGTGCCAACGCCCGAGGTTTCCTGCCGGTGGTACGGACATCGGTCGATGGATCGTGATGAAACTTCCCATGCATGTTGGGGCAAGTATTGGCTATCATATGGTATAAGAAACTTGACCGGGTCAGGTCAGGTCACGGAGCTATGACGTCACAAGAGGAACAGCGTCCGGTACTATTTTTGAAAAGCGCCCGAACCACTATTTTGCTAATTCTTGTCACCTCAATGGGAATATGCAGCAATATTAGCTTCTATAGGGAGCAAATGGACCTTCCAAATCCAAAAATACAATCAGATTTCAAAAATTTAAATTTTGATTTTTCGAATTTCTGCCGCCGACTGTGACCTTGCCGACTTCCGGCGCTCCCAACGCGCCATTTTTAGAGCTAGGGAAACGAAATACATACCAAACGATAGAGAATTGATCAAGGAACACGATAGTGAAGGTTTCAAGTCGATATCTCCCACCGTTTTGCCGCAATCGCCGCGGAAAGTTGAAAAAAGTATATTTTTCCGAAAATTTGACCTTTGACCGGTCAAAAGTAGGTCAAATGTTGACCTAGGACCAAAAAATAAACCACCAATCGCGAGATCTCGTTGAGAGCAATCCGTTGGTTTTTTCCGCTAAGCTCTACGACGCTCCGTTTTCAAACGCCAAGGGGGGGGGGGGTCGCACCAGCCCCCCCCTGCATGGGCGAAGATGGCAGATCGCCGTTTACGGGCGAGGGTTAAGAAAATGGATCATGATCTGAGTGGATCCCACCATGCACCATATTTGAAACCATGTTTTAAAGGCTTTCTATGCCAATTAGCAGTGGTGGGGACTTCGATAACTCCCATCGATGACGATTCTCGAAGTCGTTATCGACGATAACGTTTTATCAAGGTTATCGTTATTGATTATCGTTATCGAAGTAGCGTTATCGAAGTCCCCGTTCCGGTCGATCGATAACGATAACATCATCAAATAGACGCGGGCGTATTAAATAGTTCACCTTCAACATGGGGTTTTAAACTGAGATAGCAAGCACTGAAAAAATGCTATTTGGAATGTCTTTCGGTCCAACAAGCTCTGTCGCCAAAGACATTCGAGCTTTGGTTTGCACGTTTGTTTGTTTGTTTGTACGACAAAAATAACATTTTCACTATTCTAAGCCCTCCTTTTTGTGTAAGCAACTGGGTAATAATGGTGTTGTATGAGCGAATGGGCTAAATATTCATTAGAAGCTTATTCCTGTCAAATATTTTATCCTTTCGATTTCTTTCTTTTTTAAGTTAACGTTATCGTTATCGAGTTATTGAAGTGACCGATTTAGTCATCGAGTTATCGTTGTCGAAGTCGCTGACCTCGAAAGAGGTTATCGAATTATCGTTATCGTAGTCCCGGTCAAGTTACGAGTGCCCACCACTGCCAATTAGTGACACAAAACTATGGATTATGACTTGCGATCACAGCCGTTGGGTGGCTAGAGCTGGGGCCGAGTCACAAGTAGAGTTAGATGAATTCACCCATAACCACCTTCTTTCGTCTACCCAACACGGATTCCGCCCCCGACACTCCACTGAGACTGCACTGCTGTCAGTCACAGATAGCATCCTTGCCGCCACCGATAGGGGTGAGATCTCAATGCTATGCCTCATAGACCTTAGCAAATGTTTTGACGTCATTGACCATGAACTCCTTGTCAAAAAGCTCCAAATCTACGGCATTGAGACCTCCTGGTTTTCCGCTTATCTTCAGGGACACACGCAGAGTGTATCCCTGAAAGACAAAACCGGCCGTAAGATAACCTCTCGACCGCTCCCAAACACCGTAGGAGTTTTCCAGGGTTCGGCTCTGGGTCCCCTCCTCTTCACTATATTCTCCAACGACCTCTCACTATTTGCCGGAGACGCCACCGCTTATCAGTACGCAGACGACACCCAGATATTGGTGAGCGGCCCACGCAACGACATCAGGAGTCTCATCTCGCGCATGGAGGCATCGCTAGAGTCACTTAACGCATGGTTCTGCGCACACGCCCTGAAAGTCAACGCTTCTAAAACTCAACTGATGGTATTCGGTAGCCGACAAAACCTACGTAACCTGCCTCGCTTCAAAATCTCTTTCCGCGACGCTGAGCTCCTGCCGTGCGCGCAGGTGGGAAACCTGGGTGTTGTATTCGACGGCGCACTCACCTGGGAAGCACACGTGGCCGAGCTGAGCCGTCGCTGCACGGGCGTACTGATCGGCCTCTCCCACGCACGACACTGCCTCCCAGACGGTATCCTCAAAACGATCGTGACTGCACTCGTCATCTCGCGCGTCCAGTACTGCCTCACTGTATATGGAAACGGCTCCCAGAAAAACTTCGACCGACTCCAAAAAAATTCTAAACTTTGCAGCACGAGTCATATTCGGCCGCCGGAAATTCGATCACGTCTCTGGCCTCCGCGATTCACTCGGATGGATGCCTCCGAATGCTATGGCCGATGTTAAAACCATGGTAACTGCGCAGAAAATAATAAGCAACGACGAGCCCGAAGCACTAGCTGCCATCTTCACGAATAACAGTGACGCGCGAGAGAGATCCACACGACATGACCTTTTCCACCTTCCACGCTCGCGGCTCGAGACTGGCAAGCGACGGTTCGCCTACCGGGCCGCGGCGCTACTCAACAGTCTGCCTCCCGGTGTCATCGAACAGCGCCCCGCCCAATTCGCCCGTGCGGCCAAGGCTGCAGTCTGTCCGGCGATGACGACCGCCCGACGATGACCCGTGTCAGGGGAAGGAGGTGCGACATCCGTGTGCGGTGTGCTGTCTTGAATCGTCCGTTTGTATATAGAGAGAGCGAATGTCCAGCGTTTGAATCTGTATGCCTGTGTTTCTTGCCCCCGCATGTTTTTGTTTGTGCCCGACTCAGACTCTGGACTGTAATCGTCACGCCCCGCGTGGATTGTCCATGAAGGTAATACAATACAATACAATACAAAATCATTAAACCAGTAAAACGCCTTTTGGGCCTTTTGGGCTAAGAACGAGCGAGCGAGATAGTGAGCCCTGCACGTGCGGAAGGGCGAGAGGGTACTTCCAGTGGGCTTGTGCAAAGCACCCTTCTAACCGGTCACTAGCGGTGTGCCAAATTTTAACGCAATCGGCCCGGACGTTCCTTAGATCTGGAAGCGGCATTCTGCACGTGCGCACGTGCAAACGGGGTCCAAAATGACTTTTGCACGGCACCCTACTAACCTGTCCCCAACCGTGTACCAAATTTGAGCGCAATCGGCCCAGCCGTTCTCGAGATCTAGAAACGCCCCCTGCACGTGCGCACGTGCAGTAGCACCCTAACCGCAACACATGGGAATGCATTGCCTGGTGGGTGCCTACCTGTATGCCAAGTTTCAGCGAAATCACCCCAGAAATTACCGAGTTACTGAAATGGGAACAAATTTGGCACCTCTTCTTTTTGTATTTTGCACGTGCAGTGGGGGTCACTCACATAGATCAAGAGTATCCGCCCTTTGGTAGAAGGGATGCAGCTACCCTATAAAAATTACCGCAAGACAATCGCTCAAGCCGCTGCTGAGATATGGGCCTCTCAAAATCATTACTTTTGCAAAACTGCTTGAACACCCTTGACTTTTCACGTGGCACGTGCCACGACGGTCACTGAGATGTATCAAAAGTAGTCAATTACGGGGTAGAAGGGATGGGGCTACCCAGCAAAAAAGACCGCAGGCCAATCGGTCTAGCGGTTGCTGAGATATAAGCCTCTCAAAAGCGTTACAGGCCGGGCCGGGCCGGGCCGGGCCGCTCATACTGAGATTTTCCCGTTATATTGAAAAGACTTCGCTTCGCTCGCTGCGCTCGCTCGCTCGTAAACAGAACGTTTGTGAATTGAAACAAGTGCTTTTTGGGATATATGTACATATTGACAAAAAGTAAGTGAGGATCTTTGATCTCACTGGATCTCAAGCAACAGATGAGACTCGGATCTGTGTTCCCTACGGATCTCTCGATAAATTACAGAGCTGGATCTATGATCCCGTCAGATCCGAGATCAGGATCAGTTGGGATCAGATCCCAGATCCATTTTCTCGGATCCATGCACATATCTGCTAGTGACTATCAAATACCTGCGTCATACAACTGATTTTCAACTGAATGAGGGAGAGCATAAAAAAGGCATAACTTCCGTGTCTGTCTACACTCGGACACGTCACAGGTGACAGAAGTGTACCACTGCCTGATCAGAGTCGGCAGTGGGCAGGCGGCGGTCTTCCAGGCGAATCACTGCGAGTGGCGCCCAGTTGCGGCTCAGCGCCGATGGGTGGCTTCGCTAACAAGCTCAAAGGCTTAGTGTGCCACGGAAGCCCCAGCCGAGCAGGCGGCAGACGGAGCCGGCGGCCGGCAGAGGCGTTCCGGCGTCGGCAGTCACGGGTCGCCGCAGGAGACGCGCCCCTCGGGTCAGTGAGAGCGGCTCAGACCGCCCGCTGCTGCCGGCCACTGCAGGGGAGAGGAGAGATCTGACGGACTGCTGCAGGCGACCGGAGACTGCTGCTCGCCACCTGTCTCTGCAGTGTCCAGGGCAACTGCTGTAGGTGAGGATTGAGGAACACACACAAACGTATTACACAATCCTACATACGTCCACAATGAAATCGTCGACGCCTTTGTGTATCTGTGCTATGTAACAAGGTCTAACCGAAGTGCTCAGTGGAAGCTGCAAAATGATCCAAAACGATCTTTATTTCCCGCCCGCACAACACTATTTCTCCGCCCTCCCGGAGGTCTGTGAAAGTAGGACGACGAAAGATTCCTCCGACGCGTATGGTGGGAAGTGGCAGCTCCTTGCGCTACGCTCCGTATAAAGTAAATGGCCTTTTGTATTTCCGGTACAGAAAATAACTCTACCAGCTGTATTGTATTCATGTGCGCTATTGCCTAAACAATTGATCTTGACCACAAAGAAGAAGCATATAGTTTCAATTTGGTCTTCGGATGGTTATTGGAAGTATCGATACGTTCGCTTAAAAGTTGGATTAAATGCAAAGAGGGATTCAGCATCAATTCATCATGTCAATCAATGCGTTAGGCCAGTATCGAGCGTCTGCGTCCTGTTGTTCCAGCGACCCGTCTCGGCCTGCGCCTGTGACCGCACGGCAGCCCCACCAGCCGCCATGTCTACTGTCGGGTGCTACCTGCGCGTGGAAGAGCTGGCTCAGCCCGATGGACTTTACCAGCTGGGCGACAGAATCGCCGAGGGGACCTACGGAGAGATCTTCGCGGCCACCGAGAACAGCTCAGGTGCTGTGGCCCCGCCACTGTTCAATAATAATGTGCGATCAATAACAATTATTGCGATTCATCGGGGCAATCAATATACCTACCGTCGGTTAAAAGGTCGTCATTGTATGCATTTATTTGCAGTACATAGATAGGCATTGTCCATTTTCGAAGCATTTTTATCGCTGGATTTTGCTCCGTTCCGTGGATAAACAAGCGAATATATGTTATCGTAATTTAGTGAGAAGCATAGCAAATGTTGATCATATAGAGCGCATGACATAATTAGAAAGACCAATTGACTCTGTCAGAATGTCAACTCGGGTAAGAAGGGAAGCACCAAATATTTTGTTCATGTCTGCCATTCTATCTATTTCAGGTACCAAGGTGGCCATCAAGATAGTGGACAACACGGAGGAGACTTTCCCTGACATTGAGGAGGAGTACCGAATTTTGAAGGACCTCTCGGTTCACCAGAACATTCCCAAACTGCACGGCATTTTCAAAAAGACCTCGAGCAGCGGCGTCGAACAGATATGGATGGTCATGGAGGTAAGAGCAGCGAGGTCGTAACTCGTAAGACTAAGAATATCATGCATAAAAGGCTCATCACTATCTCCTAGTGTTAAAAAAGCATAACAAATATGCATATAAATATGTATCGACTATCGGAACAGTAAATATCGGCATTCAAAGCATCTAAACCAGGATTAAAACAAGAATATGTATGCGATTGCATTGGGCATTGGTGTTACTCATGCATCGCACTATAATCCTATAATGTTGGAATAATGCTGTTTCATTCGCCGGTTTCCGCTGTGACATCGGTCACCGGTGCTTGCGTTCCAGTACTGCTCGGGCGGGTCGGTAACGGACCTGGTGAAGCGTCTGAAGGAGAGCGGACACGTCATGAAGGAGGACCACATCGCCTTCATTCTCCACCACACCGTCCAGGTCAGAGCAGCGGTGACTAATGCGCAAGTCAAAAGAAACGTGTGTCCTTACGATTCATGTTTGAACTGCGCTCATCACGCGTCTGCAGTGCACCAATAATAACGTAAACCAAAAAAGGTGCCTTCGTGTGGTGACTTCATACCAACATATATGTATAACTTCTCTTTAAACTGAATAGAGTTAAAAACAATGTATGTACCTATCCTATAAAACAACGATGAATTAATTCCCCGCCCTCTGAAAAGTAAAATAAATTTACGCTAAGCCCTGTCGAGATGATATCGATCAAAGCACCAGAATAAGCACCAGCATGTTGTCCGTGAAACTGTGAGCACGTGACTCTCGTCTCTATGACCTCAGGCCGCCTGCCACCTGCACCGGAACCACGTGATACACCGCGACATCAAGGGGCAGAACATCCTGATGGCCCAGAACGGCGAGATCAAGCTCGTCGACTTCGGTGGGTGGCGACCATATTGCGGGTTTCCGCGGTTTTACATTTAAAAATTAAACATTGATCAATATATTTTGTCCCATTAATTACAACGATAGTTCGCTAAAAGTAACATTGATATAAAGTAACATTAACATGAACATTGAACAGGGAGCATTCACAAGCGCCATTACTAACAACTAATCCAGGTCTTCCAGCATATGGAAGAAATCGTCAGTGTAATAATCCTTTATTTTTTTTCTTTGTAGGGTTTCCTATATCCCAATAACGCCCATCGTATTGCCCGAGATCGTGAAGCCCCGTGAACCCGTCCCCGCATTTTACCTACCATTTTCCAGGTACGTAAGCAATCCCCCGCTGTTTTCTTGGAGTGCTTATAACGTTATGACGTGCTCGTGCCCGAGCGAGCAATAGTTAATTGCATTAACATTCTTGATTACTTGGGTATACCAGCCGCCAGATCGGGTACCTCATAAGTCATACCTACTGGAGAGTGGGGATAGATAAATAATTGGTGGCTACGTGCGCACACGTGTACTTATGTGCATTATATAAGCGTTTCCATTTACGTATACAACACCTGACCGACTAGTTGCTATCCAAAATAAAACCTTGCCCGCGCATCGCTTCCTGCCTCCTGTATGGCATGCCACCATCCCGGGCACTGTTGGCCATATCGTGTGCTTCCTGCCACTTGTGTGCAGTCAGCAGTGTGCTGTCCCTGAACCTGTTCACAATCTCCTCTACCCGGGGTACGCTAATTGACATGGCCCCGATACCCTGTCTTTCCCTGACCTCCATGTCAACCTCCGGACAGGCATATCGCGTCACCTGCCGTCCACGATGGCTCGTCGGGGCACCTCGATTGGCACACCCTACTGGATGGCTCCGGAGGTGATCTTGTGTGACCAGCAGCACGGCGCCGAGTACGACATCCGCGCTGACGTCTGGTCGCTCGGTACGTCACCGAACCCCGGCCGCGAGCGAGCCCGAACGACACGGACCGTACGGCAATCCAGCTGCGTTATAACTGTTGACACTTCCGGTTTTGTCAGATGGATGGTACTATTGGTCTAAAGATAAGGGCCCAGGCGACCTATAGTTCGGATGCGGTAGTATCCTCACCCTCGCCGCAACTCGAGTGGGGTGGCGCTGGGTAGGAGGAGGGGTGCACTCGGCCCGAGCTGTGGCGACTGGCGAGGGTAATAGTATTCACCGCATCAAAACTACAGGTCGCCTGAGCCCTTATCTTGAGACCAATAGTATGTACATACATCAGGTGATCTATAAGAAGCCGGTTCGTTGTAATACGTGCCTAGGCTTTGTGCTCAATTGCGAGTGAAGTTTTCCGTAGCACCAAACACAACAGCGAACCCAGCCGCTGAAGCCATATACTGACGCCAACTTCCGCTCGCCGCAGGGATCACTGCCATCGAGTTGGGTGACGGCGTGCCGCCGCTGGCCAGTGTGCACCCCGTGCGGGCCATGTTCCAGATCACCCGTAACCCACCGCCTACACTGGCAAAGCCCACCGAATGGAGCCAGGCCTACCTGGACTTCATCGCGGAGTAAGTCAGCGGCGCCGCCATAGTCTGACCGCATGGGGAAGAGGCTGCGCGCAGACAGGTTGAACTAAAATGACAATCTGGATACCTAAACGCACAATATGAATGACTAACTAAATGGTGCTTGATATGTCGTCGGTCCAGTTCGAGAGCGATCTTGTGCGTTCCTGGAGAAACCTCATGCTACTCAGAAATACTCGGAAGGGAGACTTAACTGGTGGATGACTTTATTTTACATAAAGGTGGGAACAATTTAGTACAAAGTCGCTTCTCTGAGTTATATGCAAGTTGATACAAAACTACACCGTCGCTGTTGTCACGTCTGGCCCGGCCCTCCATCAGGTGTCTGGAGAAGAACGACGAGAGTCGTCCTCTGATGGAGGAGGTGGCCACCCACCCGTTCCTGACCAGGCTCGAGCCGCGACTGGCCGCTATCAGGGACGAGCTGGCCCAGCTACTGGCCGACAGCGGGCCGGCAGAGACCGTCCAGCCGGCCCAGGTCACCTCCAAGGCTGGATACCTGAGGGTATGTTAGTGTGGGAGACATTGCCCGAACCCAGTCTGTTTACCGTCCCCAGCCGGCTCAGGTTACTTCCAGAGCCGACTACCTGCGGGTATGTCAGTGAACACATCCCCTCAGAGTCTTTCACTGTCCCGGGGCGGCACAGGCTATCTCCAGGGCTGGATACCTGCGAGTCAGTTAAAAGAACATCGGTGACCATTCCCTCTAAGTATGTGTCCTATGGGCGATGTCACATCCTCTTGGGTGTTTGTCGACTATCCCTGGGTGGTCCAGGTCACCTCCATGGCAGGGTACCTGTGGGTCATTGACGGCTGACATCGATGAAGTCGTGACGGCATGGATGAGTGTCCGCACAAGGTCAATGAACCTCCTCTCGTCACCTTCCGTGCCTCTCATTTCATGCATTTTTCCCAATACGGGTCGGCCTGGGTGAAGGGATTCAGACTGGGTTATCAAAATGGTAAGCAAAGTTATCCAGTAGGAGAACTGACTTCATCGCGCTGCCTCGCCAGACGCATCCCCACTCCAATTCGCTGAAGGTCCTGCCCTGACGCCCCACTGCCATATCCAGACGCGGCCGCACTCCAAGTCACTGGAGATCCTGCAGGACGACCTCGCGGCCCTGGAGGACGTCACCGACGACACTATCCTAAACCTGCTGGAGAAGCGGTTCCACCGCGACATGATCTACACGTTCGTGGCCGACGTGCTGATCGCCGTCAACCCGTACTGCGTGAAGCCGCTCTATGATGCCAAGGTGAGCAAAGAGACTGGCGAATAAACCCAGCGAGCGGACGAGGAGCCAGACTTGTTAAATCGCAGGAAGATTTAGCAGCATGCTGGTTAGGCGACAGAGATCAGCTAGGCCCGTTCTGAACGAGTGAGCAGGAGTTAGAAACACGCCGAAAGAGTTACGCTTGGCTGGAAGCTAGACGATGGGTCTTGTCGTTCCTAACCTAGCTTAACTAAAGAGGCCAGTATCACAAAGGTTGCTGTGCTCTTTCTACGCATCAGCACCTATTCGATCAAGCCCAGTGCCCCGATATTGGTGAAGTCTGGTCACACCAGTGCAACCCATCTGTCTGCCGCCGTTATTGTAGCTGACAGCTATTTCGGCTGTGTCCCGTATTCTCCCCTAAGACACACGCGGCCTACTGTTCTCGTGCGCGCTCCGATAACGCGCCGCACGTGTACGCCGTGGCGGACCGGGCGCACCAGGACATGGCGCACCATCAGCGTGCCCAGACCATCGTCTTCACCGGCGAGACTGGCTCCGGGAAGACGTTCAACGCACGCATGGCGCTGGCGCACCTCTGCCACCTGGGAAAGGTCAGTCAGCCGGTGCTCGGCATGTGGCGGTCGAGAAGTGTCATGTAGTCGTATAGTGTCGACGACAGCGCGGACTCGCACATCGTCAAAGAATCAATATCTTGCCGAACGGCGTAATACATGTTTCCGCTGTTCTGTGCCTCCAGTACCCCACGATGACACACCCACCCACCACCTCCCTCGCCTCTATTCCGATCTGGACAGAGTGTTGCGGGAGCTGAACACACTCAGACTCGATGCTTTACTGTATTATCGGCAGAGGCCCAAACAAGAACCACAGAGCCAACCGCTCGTAACCACGGTCTCCCTGCCTCTCCCGGGCCGCCGACCGCCCAGCCAGCGCCAGCCCTCGACCCCGCCCGAGGGCCACGCGGCAGGGGCGGCGCCGGGCGCGGCCAGCCGGGGAGGCGCCACGGGCGGCGCCAGGCATGCCACAACGGGCGGTCACAGCCGCCCGTAACACCCCTCCCCCCTCACGGAAACAATCATACATTGAACAATGCGACACTTACGACACGCTATTTACATTACAACTATATACACAATCACAGCCTTCACCACCTCCACCACACTCATAGTCCCGCCTGGAACCTTTCAGGTGGTCGCGACACTCGGCCTGATCTGGTCACGTATGACATTGGCGGCAACATTCCCCTCTGAGCGACGCCCACATCACCAGATGGGCCAGCTCTCCCGAGTAAGTGCATTAGCGGCACCTCGAGCAGAACGCCATGCTCGTTACCACAGTCGCTCACGGGATCCACCCCCACGGCCTCACCACGTCCATTTGGACCACTCGGATCCTGAACTGGCCGCAAGTCGGTCCGACGAGGGATGAACTCCTTGAGGTCGTTGTGGTGCACGACGCGTGTCTTGCCGCGGACGTCCTGTATCCGGTAGGTAACTTCCTCCCCCGGTGTGCCTCTTCTCTCGACGATGGTCACCGGTCCTTTAAACGGCAGACCCAGCTTCGGTTTTCCTCCCACAGCGGCAGTGTGGTCTCGTACCCACACCTTCAAGCCCGTTGGGTACGCGGTAAAATTGAGTTTGCTGTCATGGCGAACCGCCATTCGAGCAGCTGATTGGGAGGAGGCTCTCCTCACCTGTGCGAAGACCCGCTTCATGTTCTTCAGCCGTTTGTTCAGGAAGGTTTCAGCTGGTATTGCGACTTCATCGGTTCCGTACATTACATCCAAAGGCAACCGAGGCTCAAAGCCATGGATCATGTAGAAAGGTGTGTGACCGGTGGTTTCGTGGAGGGAAGAATTGTAGGCCATGGCGTATGATCTGGTACTTTCGTCCCAGTCAAGGCCCTGGCTGTCGATGTATTTCGACACCATGTCTTTCAGGGTCCTCATGAAGCGCTCCACCATCCCGTCGCTCTCAGGATGATAAGGCGTTGTTCTAGTCTTGTGGATACCGAGCCTCTGATACAGCTCACGCATCATCAGAGATTCGAATTGAGCGCCCTGATCTGTGTGAAGCCTCTCGGGAACACCAAGCTCCTGAACCCAGTGAAGGAGTGCCTCCATCACCGTTTCTGTCTTCTGATTCGGCATCGGGAAGATTCGTACGAACTTTGAGAAGTAATCCATGATCACGAGCACATATCGGTTGCCTCTTCTCGACACAGGCATCTCCGTGATGTCCATGGCTATTCTCTGGAAGGGTCGTGAGGTAACTTCGGTAACCATCGGTGCTCGTCTTTCGGGTGCCGGTCTGTACCGCCGCTGACACGGCGTGCACGAGGCACAGAAGCTCCGGATGTCCTCATTCATCCCCGGCCAGACGAATCGAGCCTTCACCCGGGCGATGGTCCGTCTGCGACCCATGTGCCCGCTCGATGGATCATCATGCGCCAGTCGGATGATCTCGGCCCGTTCAGTTTGAGGCACCGCCGCCTGGAACTGTCGACCCGAGGCAATGCCGATTACTCCATTCATGACGCGCACCTTGCTCCAGTGTTTTCGCAGCACTCCCCACCCAGCGAACGCTGCAGGCCTTGGCTTCTCCTTCCTCTCGTGTGCTCTTCGGAGAGCCGACAGCGTCGCGTCACTGGCTTGCGCCTGGGCGATTGGAGGGAGGGTCCGTTCTTGGACTGATTGTGACACAGCGACTGATACAGCAGCCGGTTCCTGCGTAAGCCTTGAGAATACAGCAGTTGGAGCTACAAGAGTCACAACCGACTCAGACGAACCGCCTTCCGTCGGCGCGGGCGAGCCGCCCGCTACTGACCCCACCGTCTCCGTTCTATCTCCTCTCTCTGAGACAGAGCGACCGGGACACCACCCCTGGCCTTGGGCTTGACCAGATCGGACCGCAGACGCCATATCTGGTGGTCTGCGAGACAGCGCATCAGCGTTCCCGTGGGCCAGACCGCTGCGGATCCGAACATTGAAGTCGAAAGAACTCAGCTCGATCGCCCATCGACCACGACGTCCTGTGCCGTCTCGCTCTGCTGCGATCGATGTCGGTATGTTTGCCAGCGGCTTGTGGTCGGTCACCACTTCAAATCTGGCACCAACAGTGTACTGACGGAAATGTCTGATGCCATGAACGATCGCCCAGAGTTCCTTATCGTAAGTCGGCCATCTCGTCTGTTGCTTTGTGAGTGCCTTACTCTCATAGGCGATCACCTTTTCCTCATCTCCAATGCGTTCAGCCAGCACCACACCCACAGCAGAGTTGCATGCGTCTGTATACAGGACGAACGTCCCTTCACCTGTTGGCAAAGCCAGTACGGGAGGCGAGGACAGAGTGGACTTCAACAGCTCGAATGCAATGCGCATCGGTTCGGACCACCTGATTCGTCCCTCCTCTACTGCGGCGTCCCTAAGTGGCTTTGTAATCGCGGCATACCCCTGAATAAACCGCGCGTAGTACCCGCACAGGCCTAAGAAGCTTTTCATCTCCTCCTCAGATGACGGCTGCGGCCAGGCCAGGACCTTGTCCACGTTATGCGGATCTGGACGTATCCCTTCCTCGGAGACGAGATGTCCAAGGAAAGTCACCTCCTTGCGTGCGAATCGACATTTCTGTGCCTTTAGCTTCAGCCCGGCTTGCTGAATCCTCAGGAGTACCTCCTGCAGGGTAGCCAGATGTTCTTCCTCGGTCCTGTTGAACAAGATGACGTCATCCAAGTACACCAAACAGCTTTTGGTGTCAAGGCCTGCGAGAATCAGTTCCATCATCTTCTGGAAAGTGCCGCTGGCGTTCTTGAGACCCATTGCCATGACTCTGAACTGATGGAGGCCTTTTCCAGTCGAAAATGCCGTCTTCTCTCGATCTTCAGCCGCCAGTTCAACCTGCCAATACCCTGTGGCCATGTCCAGCGTGGTAAACCACCTCGCCCTTGACAGGGTATCGAGCGAGTCGTCGATTCGTGGGAGCGGCATGGCGAAGCCCTTCGTCACTGCGTTCACAGCCCTCAGGTCGACGCAGAAGCGGAAGGATCCATCTTTCTTGCGCACCAACACGACCGGCGAACACCACGGACTTTCGCTTTCCTCAATGACACCATCCTGTAACATCTTTTCTTTTTGTTTCTCTACCTGGTCTCGGACTTTCATGGGTATCCGTCGTGGACGTTGTTTGACTGGGACTGCATCCCCCGTGTCAATCCTGTGTTTTGTCACACCTGTACGACCAATGTCTCCCGGTCTTTTACTGAAGACGTCACTGTAGGTCTCAAATAAACCCCGTAGTTTGTTACGACCTCTCTCACTCAAGTCTGTCAGTTCTGGTGACAGGGCTTGTTGCACCTCCGGTTCCACCTCTCCAGGATCATGAGATGGATTACCTCCATCTCCACAGCTCGCCACATTGCAATCGGCACAGTCTGCCCCGGGACACAAAACACACAGGGCGTCTTCACCGCCCCCAAACGCAAGGAACGTCCCGACATCAGAGCCCTTCAAGAGACGGACGCCCTCCGCTCCGACATTCGTCAACCGGATAGGTATGGTGCCATTGGAGGCGATCACCACCACAGCCCGTGGAATCAATAGATCCTCACGCTCCGCCGTGCGGCTTGGCTCCATCATCCCACTTACCGAGCCTGCTGACGTCACAAAAGGTCCCTGGCCATCAAGTCGCTGCACCACTGCTGCTACCGTTGTTACCGAACGACCTGGTAGTGTTACTGCATCGCCAAGAATGACTCTAGCCCGCGGGGGACGGATCTCAGGGTATGTTGGAAGTGGAATCGTCATCCCTTTCATACGGATCACCCCCTTCTCATCGTCAATGATAGTTCTGTTTTGGCAACAGAAGTCACGTCCAAGGATCACGTCATAGACCAGCCCCGACACCACAGCCAGTCGTGGACACACAATCGACTCCTCCTCCACCTGGATAGGGACATCACGGAGCACCTCAACGATGTTCAGGGGGCTACCACCAGCTCCCTTCGCGGACCGCGTCGGGGTGGTGGCCTGACAAGCCAGTTCCGTTTTCAACCGCTGCTGGAGCCCATCCCTGACCATGGAAAAGTCGGCACCCGAATCGACCAGCGCCCATACTTCGAGGCTGCCCAAGTGGACTCGAATGGCTGTTGCAGTTAATCGGGACTGGATACACGCAGCCGGCTCTTGTCCCACAGGGCCAGCTGCCCCTAGTTTTCCGCCGGCTTATCAGATGGAAGGGCTTCCCTCGACATCAGCCCCCGACGTCCACCCATTGCTGGAGGCCCCTGCTGCAGGCGAGAATGGCATGCCGCCATCCAGTGCCCAGCCTCGCCACAGAATAAACAAAACGGTTGGAGCGGGGTGGCAGCTTGTACAGCCGACTGACAGTTGCTCCGAATGTGACCCTCCTGCCCGCACGAAAAACATTTCACCCTGGTGGCTCTCGGTCCAGTTCTCGGCTGACCACGGCGTACCACCGGGCAGTCACGCCGAAAATGGCCGGGGGCACCACACCCGTAACATTTGACAGCCTCAGGCAGGTGGTCCGTCTTGGCAACGGCGAACGCCTCCAACGAAGACCGCAGCTGGCCGATC